TTGAACCATTGCTTTCATTGGATCACTGGATTGACTACTGATGATCAAGTTCTACTAGACTAATTTCAATTATGTTACAGACCAGACTAATAAATACAAGAGTTCTTAGTTTCAATGAAATCTTGCATTTACCTAAAATAACATGCCCTATCCACATCCAGTGTGTAAGGTGAAATGGGTTCATAACTTTTAGACTATTATTTCCGTCTAAAACCACCTTTAGAAAATGAATAATATGTAGGTTATCTCAGTCGAGTGACAGTTATAGGGGCTCATGTGTGTTCACACTTTAATCTCCCACAAAATTATATCTGTTTTAGCATGCTGCTCTCTGCTGTGATTTCCCTGACAATGAACAACACACAGTTGCTGCACACTCACTGTAAAACCCAATTCTATATATGTATATGCTAACTCAGATTAGGTAAAACTAACTGTTACGACATCGAAGTCACGTGACTAGTATCATGCCACGTCATTCTCGAACTTTCATGTCTTTTCCTTAAATCTCGTGATCTTGCTAGATATAGTGTAGTCTTGTATATATGAGTATAAGACCGGCCACGAAGCGACGGAGAGGTAATGAGTAATTGAATGTATGCCGACAGAATATTGTTGGCCACGTGAGCGTGAGTTATAGCGTTGTTACAGAGCGACTGTTGAAATTAAGTGTACGGTAAAGTTGTATCGGAAAGAATAAACCAGTTTTATTTAAGAAAGGACTTGTGTCGCTAAAGTTTCGTCGGAACGAATTTACGGAAAATTAACGAACGAACGGGGACGTAACATAACCATCACTTTTGACCATTATTTTTCACTAATGCTTTCTTTGACGTTTTTCCTGGATCTTCTTTCAATTATAGGTTTAATTCTAGGAATGATGTGATTTACAAAGTTTCACCATGTGGGTGTTATTTTTCACCTTCCCCTAGTACACTTACAGGCTGAATTTTCATGCATCTTATACTTTTCCTTGTGCTCAAACAATGTTATTAAAATATTTAGTAAACTGTAGTTGTGAATTTCATATATTACTAATAATTTCACCTAATCAAACATTTCGATTCAAAACAACAAATTAAATTGATTTCTTTCAGAAGTAATGTGAGTCTCTACATTACTCATACCCTTCCATGAAAAATTCACTTAAAATAAAATGTACCCTGTATTTTCCACTAATACCTTACAGGTCAATTATCACAATTAGATTTATATTTTAATCTATACATCCAAGTCAAATACTTTGTTTGTATTAATGTGTGGCTTAATAATTGTGTTTATCATACAATTGATTCATTCACGTTATGCAACACTCATGAATGACTTTGTGTAATGTTTTTACACATGTGTGAGACTACACAGACTTATTTAGACATGTATATAATACTATATACATTTATCTCCATTACACATCATCACATACACTAATATTTTTTCAAGACTATCTTAGGTTACTTTTTGAAGCCACTAGTTGGTAACTGTTGCTTAGTAAAGTATTACCACCTGTGAACCACCAAACTCGAGTGTTTTCTTTTCAGATATCATGAAATAAATAATCACAGAGCAAGCTCAGCTGAACTAAGACTTTCTAAGTAAAATTTCTCATAAGTCAGTATTAATTATTCACCCTCTTACTATAGTATATATGATTATATACTCATACTAAACACAACTCTCTTAGTACATGTGGAAAAGGTATATGTCTTTTAGTGTACCAGTTAACAAAGATCTAGCAAAAATTATTCATTATTTTCCTGGGAACTCTTGCTACTCTGTTAGATCAGATGAGCAATTCTTCCAAAACATCTGTGATGTTTTGCCTCAGGAAAAGCACTCGATAGCACAGGAATGAAAAGTCAAAAAGTCCTTTTGACTGTGTTTTAAAATGCTTAACCATCATATTCAGTTGTGCAAACTGTTGGTGCATTAGGAATTTTATCTACTGGCACCAACCACCCTAAACTGTGTTAACTGAGCAGCCATCATTCGATATCCTATGGGTATATCTTGCTGCGAAATTTCTCTCAATAGCTTGGAAACTAAGGGTTACAAAGCCCTTTTAATCTTGTTAATCATGCAATCAACAAACTGTCCAAAGCTCAGATAATCAAATGGTAATCATACAATGTAGAGCATACATTGTACTTTACAATATCATCTTATAGCTCAGAAAGCAAGGGTTGCAACACCTTTTCAGGTAAGTGTTTAAACTCCTGGCTGTCGTCTCCAGTAGTATTAACTGTTGTTGCACTAGGCATTATATCTACTAGCACCAGCAATCCTATGTTTATGATAATTATGTGAAATCACACAATGTATGGTAAATACCACTTGGTAGCTTAGAAAACAAGAACTGTTACTTTCTTTGCTTCACCAAATGATAGTTCTAGCTGCCCATGTTCAGGTTTAATCCCTGATCTCTGCCTTATTGATTAGGAGGCCATCAGTGGAGATTAAGATGACTGTTAGAACTTTTCCTCACCTTGAAATATGGCTTTATGATGTCAGAAAAACATGAAGGTTCAAGAAGTCTAAATATAAAATGATAAAAACGCTATAACGTGAGTGCTTTCAAAAGGTAGATCTTTCTTCTTCAGGGGCAAACTGTAGATCTGGCTTGTCATGAAATGCCAGACAAGTACTCTCAGCTCTTTCCTCTTCATCCAAATGCTTGATCAAGTAAACCAAAGAACCATACAGATTCAGCATCAGTCATTGCACTGCCTGTCCCTGATTCTGTTAATTTTAGACAGTGACCAGTCTGGAATAATTAAGGAAATTGTTCAGGCATTCCTTGTTTATATTTTTAAATGTTGGGGGAGAAATCTGGTTAGTCTTACTCCCAGAAACCTGTGAAGGCATTATAAACCATTGTCTCATGGAATTTTGGCCAGTATCAGACTGAGATTCCTAAACATTAAGGGTACAGTGTAGTAGGGGTTCTCAGGGGCTCCAGTGCTCTAAAAAGTGGTAGGCCCATGATCTAGGATGGCAGAATGATGAGGATCTTTAAACAGTTTGTAATCAGTTCTGCTTACCTTCGAGCTCCTCAATATCTCATGTCCACATCAACTGTATATCTCCTTGATCAAAAATGTTCACCACTGCCCTATGACCCACTCTATTCGTCATTCAGTTCCTACCATCTAACCTGCTGATATGATGACTGCAATTGTTAGACAACATTCACCAATGGTGTCTCCAATCCCACTTCTTCGCTGTGTTACTTCAATCAGAAATCTGAGTGCTTCAATTTCTGGGTAGCATAAGTCTGAGAGTCCTTTAAATCATCATACCAGGTTTTGGACTCACTAGACACCAAATCACAATGATGATCCTCAGTTCATGCTTCCCTCACACTGAGGTTGATCCTCTGGGGAAAAATTCCATTGGCAATTTTCTTTTCTGAATGTATGACAGAAATTAGAAGAAAAAATCATGGACTTTCAAAGCATTGTAAAAAGTCCTACATCCAGGAGAGGATTTCTTAGACCTGATAACTCTTAACAGACAACCATATTCCCTTGGCAACTGACTTTCCTTCTTGTTCATGAGTTTTTAGTCATGAAAAATTCCATTTCCTCAAAAACAAAGCTTTTTATAACTTAATAACACAAAAGTAAAAAAGGAAATGCACACTTTAGCAGATATAACAAATTCTTCAATAATGATATCCTGTAGTCATGGCACCAACATTTCACCTACTTATCCTCTCTGTGGTATATATTTGACCTATCAAATATATCTGTTAAATCACAGAAGATTTGTTCAAGATATTGATCACAGAGTAGCACTAAATTTCTTCCTGAGTCGATGTAAAATAAAGTATTGAGGATGGACACAAAATGAAGTACAAAATGAATAACCTTTATTTAACACTAAACACAGTGTGTGCACTTGCAGTTTTCTTGCATCAGACCATTGCTTTCAAGGAATCACTGGACTAACTACCGATGATCAAGTTTTACTAGACTATCTTCAATTATGTTCCAGATCAGATTGTCAAATCCAAGGTTTCTTAGTTTTAAAGAAACCTTGCATTTATTCAGCATGCCATGCACTATCCATATGACTGGTCATTCTCATTACAACTGGTGAGGCCATAATCTCTAGATATCACCCGAAGAACCTTTGAAGGACACTGCTATTGACGTTCTTACACAGTGTTGTATTAAGCAATGTTCTTTATAGGTAATAACAGATATATCTTGAAAACAACAACTGAACAAGAGTAACTTGAAACAAGATCAACTTAATTTATTTCTCAACACTATTTATTATGTGAAACCTTCACATATTCAGAACACAGAACGAATTCAGAATAAACATTATAAAACTCCAATAGATAGAAACACATGGTATATATTCAAATACCACAATATCAATGCAATCCTAGGATAAATGTAGCATTCAGTTACCTGATCTCCAAAACAACTAGAAATTCGAGATAATTGAATATGGAAGGACAGGTGTAATAATTCTTAGTAATGACATGAAAGAGGTAAGACTTGGTGTGAAGTTGAAGCAAAAATAAATATTTTATTCAAAAACTTCGATAGGGACTGGCAAATGGGGCTCGTGCCCCGATGCTATTCGATATGCCCCAAATCCCCAGTTGATGTCTTGAAAATCAGAATAGAAAACCATGATCGATATCATTCTGAAACGCCGAAAGTTCTCGCGCCTATGGTCCCAAGACCACAATCTGTTAAGTAAATAACGACGACTCTGTTTTTATTTGTTAAATAAATGCTGATTATCTATGTGGTTTGACAATAATTGGAAGTTTAAGTGTAAAATAAAATAAAAGCAAGTCAAAGTAAAGGTAGTATTTTAAATAAACTTAAATCACACAAGATTTGCATAGGTTTAAGCTGAAGTGCTCAAAACATGGAAGAAGCTTTAAGATGTTGTTGTTTGTTACTAAGCGCAAAGCTACACAAAGAGGTATTTGTTCTCTGCCCACCACGGGTATCGAAACCCGGTTTCTAGCAGTATAAGTCCGTAGACATACCGTTGTGCCACTGGGGGGGGGGGATTTAAGAGCAACTCTTTAGCCCTTCGGGGTACAACCAAATTTTTTACTCTTCGTAGGTCAGAAAGAAAACTTGTGTGAAAACACCAAAACTAGATTCACAAAGCATATTCTTTCTGTCATTAACTAATAAGAAAACAAACATCGAAATGTGTAAATATCTCTCTCCAATGTAACAGCCAGAAAGTTGTCCTTCAAGAACAAGGTAAGGCAGGATACAATGCAACTATCCCAAAGAACAGCAGATCTGTTACTCGACCAGATCAGCTACAAAAAGTGACACCCCATCCTGATTTTAACATCTAACCTCAACCAGATTTAGTAAGTTATAGACAAGATTTTTTAAAAATATTAAACAAGAGATAAAATACACATTATAGGAGAGTAAGGTATTGTTACGACAGCGGAAGTCACGCGACCCTGGGAGCATGCGCGCTGGAGTTTCTAGAAGAATCATGACTTTTCCTGGCAACTCTAGTCTTTTCCAGCGGAGATATAATTGCATAGATAGAGATAATCGAGTCAAGTCGTAAGTAAAGTATGTGAAACCATGTGAATTATACCGTGTTTTTATAAAAGTAGTTAAGTTAAACTGACTGTGGAAATTCTAAAAGCAAGTGTTTTGTGCCCTGCTTGGGGGAAAGTGTCTAGCGTAAGCTCTGTGACAAAGAACTGTTGGGCACAATGGGACCAGTTGAAGCTTGAAGCTGGTATTCTTGTCCGGAGATGGGAAACTGCAGATGGGAAAGTGACAACCTGGCAAACAGTTATACCGAGAAAGTTACGGGAAGTTGTGCTGCGTCAATCAAATGATAGTTTAACAGGAAGACATATTGGAGTTAAGAAGACATTGAGTCACCTATGGCAGAGATTTTACTGGATAGGTATGAGCCAAGATGTGGAAGAATGGTGCAGAACCTGCAGTACATGTTGTGCTAAAAGGGGACCCAAGCATAAGGGACATGCTCCAATGAAGTTATATCAAGTTGGCACACCAATGGAAAGAGTAGCCATTTCCATTGCTGGTCCTTTGCCCCAAACTCGTGCATGAAACAAGTACATTTGTGTGGTGATCGATTATTTCACCAAGTGGCCTGAGGCATATGCAATACCAAATCAGAAAGCTACAACTGTAGCTTCGGCTATTAGTGATTTCTTCTTTAAATTTGGTATGCCATATGAACTGC